GTGGGGATGTGTGTGCAAGGTAAGGGAGGGGGGTGGTGTGTGTGTCAGGGAGCGGGAGTGGGGGGGAAGAGCGGTGAACTTAGCTGCAAATTACAGACATTCTGTTCACGTGAGCAGTTGTCAGCACCTGTCATCCTCCAGACGCACGACGGAGCGCATGTCTGAGCCAATCACTTTTATTGGCATTGATCAGCTGACTGATTTAAATACACCTTAACATTCATGAGGTACTTTGCATTGACTGTTTATGGTTGAGTGTGGGCGTGTAGAGGGTAGAACCTGAGGCGGGACCTCGTGCGCAAACTGACGTGCGGCTGTGATTTATAAAGGAAAGGTGCGCAGAAACATGCGTACGCACGGTTTTATAAACCTGATATTTTTTTGGCGTATGCCATTTCCGCCTTTTGGCCGTACGTTCAGTTTTAGTACGGTTTCCACGCAATCCTTTATAAATCTGACCAAGGACATGTTTCAACGTCATACTTTCTTCTTCATCAGATGTGTCACAGCTGATGTTCTTTGGAGGCGGTGTCAAACCATCTACATATACTGTATATATTGATGAGTCGACACCGCCTCCTGCTGGCTTCACTGCTGGAGGATGTCACTCTAGGTATGTGAGAGTTTGTAGGCCTAGGATAGGCCTATATTGATTGGGAACAAGTCAAAATCATCTGAGGAGAGGACAACAAGCATCAGCTATGAATTATGGAGATGAACGAGATTAGAAAGCGAGCCCACGCAGATTTGAACTGGGATGAAGAGGCCTACAAAATCTTGTTTGACCAGATAATACCTTTCAGCTGCCTATGGGATCCTACCGCCTAACAGGACTAGATTGGACTCCTTCCTTAACTTGACCTCCCTTACACAGGATGTCAACRACTGGTTTTGAAAATGGCCACCACAAGTGACATCAGCATTGGTTATTCTGCTGGTCATTCAACCAACTTTCCTTGTTAAGTAAAGCATTTCTCTTTAAATTTACATACATTTTATATTGTATGTGAATGTTTTTGTACAGTTCCATGTGACAACTTTCATTGTAGGTCGGTGCTATATAAATAAACTGGATTGAATTTGCAGTGTTTCCCAACACTAGTCCTCAAGGCACACTGCCCTGCATGTTTTAGATGTTTCCCTGTTTCAACACAGCTGGTTTCAATTAATAACTGATGAACAGGCTTTTGTTGAACTGCAATCATCTGAATCAGGTGTGCTGAAGCAGGGAAACTTCTAAAACATGCAGGGCAGTGTGCCTCGAGGACCAGGGTTGGGAAACGCTGAATTAGAGGTAGGGTTAAATACTTTGAGCATAAAATTTCATTAAA